CTCCATCAAGATATCTCTGATGGAGACTATCTTTAGGCCGTTTCTTTTTATTTTTGGATGGTCTGTCATCTTCTTCGTCATCAGGAAGGCTTACACAAAGGGAACATTGGCAATCAAGATCCCAGAAACAGTGTCCTATTCGAGGATCCTTATAATAATGGATAGGTCGTCCCTCTTGATCAAAAGACTCGATCATAGTCTTCAGATCTGAGTTGCCCTCCTCAATTGGAACATCTGCATGACAAGATTGCATCATAAAAATAGTAGGAAAAATAGAAGAAGAGGCTTTTTCCTTACTAAATCTAATAACAATCGTACCATCTTTCTTTTTTGTGAATTGGGATTCCATGGACTGGATAGGCCTGGAATTCTGGTGAAGCTTTTCATAGTTAGTTACCCAAGTGTCAGAGAGTAACTTAACTAGTTGATCTCGAGGAATTTGTCTGGGTACATGGACGCAGGAAGTCTGATTATTGTCCGCTGAAATAAAAAGAGCGTCCTTTGTGCCTGGGAAGTTGAGATCAATAGCATGGTTCTGAATCCGGTATACCATTTGGTAGTGTAACGTTGCAACTATAGAATTAGAAGTCTGAGAAGCTCTAGTTAGCAGTAGCTGAACTTTAAGAGCAGAAAGGAGTCTTGGGTCCGTAAGGGCCATGTTGAAATTTGGAAATAGTGTAACAAACACTGTTCCAGCATTTAGCGTGGTTTGGATCGTACCAATATAGGCATGTTGGTAGTCCAAGAAGCGAGTATCTAAAAGGGCCATGCGAGCAATAACGGGTAATCCTTTTTGGCCATGGAAAGAGAGAGTAATGCGGATAGCACCAAAGTAGAGATGCGTGTATCCTTGCTATACCCACCGACGTGGAAAATCAGAAGGTATCTAGAGAGTAACGAAATGTTCTTGCTGAGTAGTAGGAATAGGATGCTGGTCGAATCGGGATGACTGAACATATTCTTTAACTTCCCGGGGTGTGTGTTTGATGAGTTGTTTGATGGAACGGAGAGGAGAAAAAGAAGGTGGTTTGGCGAAAGCAGAGTAAGGATTAATAAGGGGGAGATGAGTTTCCGAAATTTTACTATCTTTATTAAGGTATGAAACCTCATCAAGATAGTCAATTTTAGAAACATTTAAAGTGCAAAGATCTAAAGGGGCATTTATAGTGACTGATGGAGTAGTATCAGTAGAATCAGTCATGATAGAACAAATCTACCTTTTCCACCTGGTGTTTCATCTAAAAACAAACAAGTATGCTGAATAGAGTGCTGGCTCTGATACCAAGAAGAGGCTCTAAGGCTCCGTTCGTTTGGCGGAAAATATTCTTCTTTTGGAAAATATTTTCCCGGAAGTCATTTTCCTGGATTTTCCGCCAAACGAACGGAGCCTAAGATGCAAATCAGGGAAAACGAAGACAAGGCTTGTGGCAGGTATGCTTTCTCACATACAAATGGCTCTCCAGGCCTTTATAAAAGGGACTGCCTTTTAGCCACCAAGCCCCTTTTTTGAATTTTGATTTGCACCTTAGAACTGCTTTATAATAGCATAATTCTGATGCACAGGTTCCATATCATGGCAAGTGCAGAGCATACTACTAGGACTAATTATTAGCACACGTTTGTTTAGAGAATCATACCAGGTAGAAAGGTAGAAGCAAAGATTTAGGGATTCATAACACAAGTTTTATTTCTTGAGGCTTTTTTTCTGAGAGCATATCGTGCCTCCAAATTTTACAAGCGTGGCCTTTTATAGGCTCGGACGACTATACAAACGAACAATTATTGATGAGGTTCTGAAAGTCACCAATAATTTAACACTCTAAGATTGACACTAAAAACTTTTACATTGACATAGGACTCGTTCAACCTACAGATGACTGACAAACACATAAAAAGCTTTCGGACGACATTTTTCTTTATTGCTACAGTGCCGCTACATACAGCTACAGTGTCAAACAGTACTTGAACAGTGCGCTACAGTGCATGAACAGTATTTTTCAGATAACGAGCTGACTTTTTCAAACGCGCTTGTCACGACTTCAGCAGTCATATTTATGGATAGTTTCTTCGGTATTGTCATCATCAGAGCTATTCGAACTACATCCGTCCTTTTGTCTCTTGTAATTTCTGAGGATTCGTTCAATTTCCGCAGTTTCGATGTCCACATCTTCATGAAGTTCCGAAGACTTTTGCTTTTTTCGTGAAGACTCTGGAACGTCTGTAGAACTTGAGGCGATATCAGCAGAACTTGATGGCATACGTGGTTGAGAAAAATTCTCTAATTGCAGTGACAGATTATCTTTGTCATCGCTTAGACAGAGTGCTAGTTGTAGGTTACTGTAATCATATGAGTTTTGCGATAATGGTCTTCTCCATGGATCTTGTGATTGAGAGGCTTGGGATGGGGACGGGGCCTCTTGAGATGAGGATGAGGCAGCTTTATCTAAAGTAACAGCAGCATCCATATCTGCTTGCATATCTATGCCATAATATTATTCCAATGCTATATCAATTATCGCCTGATATTTGTGATTAGCTGGATGATCCCAAGACACACTGGTAGAACTGGCTGGCCTTACTTCTGCCCACATGCCTCGCACCCTAATTTCCCTTGTATATTTGTCTTCCCTTAAGAGAGGGAATACTCTCTAGTAGTTTTAAATCTCGGTGATCCCAAGGTCCGAATGAAAACTAAGATCAAGCCTTTTGGCTACGTTTGACAATCCGAATTTGAGTCCGGATATGATAACAAAATATCCTATCTAATGTTTGGCGATGTCTTATGGACCGGATAAGTAATCCGGGTTAGGGGGTGGGATAGACCCTAATTGGATAAAAAAGTTAAAAAAAAAACATAATAATTTCCTTCTCTAGCTTCGTCGGCCACCACGGAAGGACCGCCGCCACAACAGCCTATCACTATTGACCACCATGCAATCGTCATCATCTTTGACCAATGCCGATTGTCATCGTCGTCTAGCTGATTGTTCTTTGATGATTGTGGAACCGAACCATCCAGAACACAGGAGGTTTTGGGTGTTCATACGTTAGTCCTGAACAGTGGTCACCTGATTTTGCCGTGATGCTTCGACGTCCAATCCTATCCTCTATAGAGATATGAGACTCCGTGTTGACAATCAGAAGATTTGAAAGGAAAAGAAGGAGGAGGAGCTCCAGCGAAAACAGTGATCACTCAAAATGGTGCAAGTCTCGGCCATGCGAGACTACGTCAAGAGGATGCCGCCCTAAATTTGGAAAGTATCACCTTTACGAGCAAGTGAGATTTTCAAAAATTTTGTATTCTATCTTGGATAGAACCAAACACTAGAAATGATTTTTTACAATCCAGAGGATATTTGAAGGATTTCTAGGTTCTATTTGTTTCACAAAAAATGTTATGTTTCTGGAAAATGTTTTCCAAGAAGCCATTTTCCTGGAAAATTACACAATTTTCCAGTGTTCAGTTGAAATCTGAAAAAATCTCTGATCATATTTTCCGTTGTTTGGTATGGAAAATGTTTTCCTCATTGCAATACTTTTAATTATTTTTGAGGTGGTCGGCCTCGCTGTGCGGGCGAGGCCGAGCTCGCATCGCCGACGGTGCACCCACTCAGATCCGGGCGAGGCGGCTCTCTACGGCCGCCGGCGAGGTCGGCTCGCCCAGGCAAGGGCGAGCCGAGCCTCGCGATCTCGGGCGAGGCTCGGCCGCCCGGCGGGCGAGGTCGGCCTCGCCTAGCAACGGCGAGGTTACGCTCGGCGAGGCCCACGGCCTACTGCAGCGAGGTCGACTCGCCACCGCCGGCGGGCCGAGCCTCGCCAGATCGGGCGAGGCTCGGCCCGCCTGACCGCCGGCGAGGTCGGCCTCGCCCGGCACGCGGGCCGACCTCGCCGGCCGCCTCGGGCCGTTTCTGAGCCAGGACGGCTGACCGGCGGAGGTTGAAGGTGAAACAAAAAAAAAGAAAAGAAAAGAAAAAGAAAAAATTCGAAAAAATAAAAATAATATTAAAAATTGGATGAATAGTGAACGGATAGATTTGGGACAAAAGTAAAGTTTGGGTTTTTTATGAGACAAAAAAGTTTGGGATATAATTGGGACAAAGGCTAAAGTTGGGGGTTTTTAGGAATTGGGCCTTTTTAAAATGTTTTTAAATTTTTCTTTTTCTTTCTTTTTCGTTCTTCTTCTTCTTCCTCGGCTGGTCGCCCGCCATGGCGGCGGGCAGCGATTGGTCACAGGCGAGCTTGAGCCTTGCCACAAGTCGGTGAGGCTCGTGCTCGCCAAATTCCGGCGAGGTCGAGCCTCTCTAGCCTGTGGCGAGGCTCCATCTTGCCTAATCCGACAAGGCTGAGCTTGCCCAAGGCCGGTCGAGCGAGACTTGAGCCTCGCTCGAGGTTGCCAGACGTCGGCGAGCCTCTGGTGAGCCTCACCCAGCTCGCTGGATCTAGCTAGGCCCAAGTTCGTCGGCGACCGATCGGCCCAAGTTCACCGGCGAGTACTCAGGCTCGAGCCTTGCCACAGGCGGGCGACCGGCCGGAGAAGAAGATAGAAAAGAGAAAGAAAAAGAAAAAGGAAAAATAATAAAAAAAAATTAGAATTTAAAATAATAAAAATTAGAATTTTAAAAAAGAAAATAAAAATAATTATAATGAATGTCGAAAGAAGGAGGGGGAAAATGTTTTCCCCTTCTCAAAAAGTGGAAAACATTTTCCTCACTTTTGAAGGTGTTTTGTCTATTGAGGGAAAATGTTTTCCATGACTAGTTTATTTTCCGTGAAACGAACACCGAAAATTCCAGAAAATATTTTCATGGAAGTTATTTTCCGTTAAACGAACAGAGCCATAATCTCACCTTATTTTCACCTTATTTTAACCTATCCTTTTTGGCCTGTAATTTTTTGTGGTCGAAAATTGGTTTTAATGCTGTCCACAGGGGGAGAAAGCCCACCTGTCTTTGGCATAAAAACTGAGTACCCAAGGGCACTCAAACCGGCGAGCCAAAAAGAGAGGAGAAAGATAGAGAGTAGGGGCAATGGCAGGAGAGGCGGAAGCAAGCAGCAAGATCCTCATCTTTGGCGGCACCGGATACATTGGCAAACACATGGCGAGGGCGAGTGTCTCTTTAGGCCATCCAACTTACATTTACGTCCGCCCCGCCGCCGCACCCCGGACCCGACCTTCGAACCTCGACCTCCATCGCGAGTTCCGCTCAGTCGGCGTCCGTATCATCGAAGTATGCGTACCTCTCTTTCTCTCTCTTGTGTGATCGGAGCACAATCGGATGCATTCATGTGTGTGCATGCACCTTTTTTTTTCTTTCCTTAATCAAGAGGTACGAGCGTGTAGATTCCACGCGCACAGGATTATTAACAAAGGCTATATTTTCCTCCAATTATATCTCCGACTATTGTGCTATATGTTATGGATATCATCACCTAAAACACATTGTGGCAATGAAATAGGGAGAGCTAGAGGAGCATGAGAAGCTTGTGGCAGCACTGAAGCAGGTGGACATAGTCATCTCCGCTCTTGCGTGCCCTCAAGTACCTGACCAGCTGAAGATCATCCACGCCATTGTCGCCGCCGGCAACATCAAGGTAAGTTATATCTTGTCTATCTAGGAAATCGGCCATTCAATCTCTTTTTCGTTTTTGATGGGGAGGTTCTTTCTATGTTCTTTCTGAAAGTTGAATCCACCTGGTTTAAGCATACGATAAATCACTTCTCCTAAAGAGTTTGGGTGCTAAAAGTACGAATAAAAAATCTATCTTTAATTCTCGCTTTTTCAATTCAAAAGTCTTGGTCTTAACTATCTAAGCTACCTTTTACTCTAAGCAGATGTAAGAAAAAGATTGTTCTCTTTACTTTTCTTGTTCTTACTAAAAAGAAAAGAGTAAATCTATTGTATTGAATGATCGGAGCAGAGTTAGTAGAGACATAATTTGTGAACACCAAAGAGAAAAATTCGGAGCATTGAAAACTGCCCCTTCAGTGGCGCACGCCAATTATCCCCTCGACAATGGATCCTAGACCAAATCCTTGTCGTAACTCACTAGAGTCTCGAAATTAAAGTGTAGAAAATTACACTAGAGAGCTCTACATTTCTTTATTTATATACTTGGTACTATATTGGGTTGATCCAACGGGTCATTTTTCTTGCATTCAAAACCATGGTCCAGAATTAGTTGTGAATGTAACGAGGGCACAGAACAACAATGCGTCACCTTGGCTTTGCTGCCTTTAGTTCCATACTAAATTTTGTCAGCCGTACAATGTCTGATGTTCATGTCATGTCATTATTTATTACATTTTGCTGCCTTTAGTACCATATTAAATTTCGTCATCTCATCTTGATACGTACCTTTTCTTTTGTCATCTCTCTTAATGGGTACCTTTTCTTGTGTCATGTCACCTTCTTACTGTTCTAATCCCCCTGATCTAAAAGGTATAGTTTTTTGTTCTCAATAAACATCCAAATATTGGCAACGGTTAGGTTAAAAATTGAGAAAAGGATGAGATAGAATAACCGGATCAAATACTTGAAGCTTATAAATCAACATCATCAAAAAGTCTATGGGAATCTTACTTTGTGCCGAACCTTTTGATTCTATTGATCCCTACAGATATTGCATGCGAAACATAGTACGTTGGAATTGGTCGGATGATACCGGTGAAATCCTAGGGCTAACCGCATAACATTCATATATATGTTAGATTTCACTCTTGTTCTCAAACCAAATCATCATCATCATCATTATTTTGAGCAGAGGTTTGTGCCATCTGATTTCGGATGTGAGGAAGACAAAATAACTCCACTCCCTCCATTCCAAGAATTATTGGAGAAGAAGAGGAAGATCAGGAGGGTCACCGAGGCTGCAGGCATTCCCTTCACCTTTGTCACGGCGAACTGCTTCGCTGCATACTTCGTCAATGTCGTCCTTCATCCCCACGACCCCCAGGATGAAATTGTCGTCTATGGCAATGGTGAAGCCAACGGTACTCTCCCTCTCTCTCTATCTCTCGGCTCGGACTTGTCTGGACCTGGATCCACGCGGTCCGGCTCCATCGGAATAATTGATCTTGTGGATCTTGCTTTTGCGTCCCACGTGATGCTCTGATTGATTTGAGTCCACGGACTTGTATCAATCACAATGTACGAGAAAATCGTGGGGTCCTTTAAAGAATCTCCAAGGTTATTCGGTTAAAGAAAGACCCTCCTCCGTTCAAAAAGTCCGTGTGAAGTTCCAGAATCACATGAATAATAAGGCTTGGGGTCTGGTCTGATTTCGAGTGAAGGGCTTTATCCTGATTTCTCTAAAAGGGCAAAATCATTAAATTTACTTTGAGTCCAAACCTTTCTGCTTTGGTAATGTCGTCCCTGAACATTGTTTTCTACGAGTAGATTTGCGGACCATACTTTTTATCTATTCATATTAGTTTGTCCGACGAAAAAGTTTAGAGACTTTCCCTGCCATTATCCTATTTATTTACCATCTTTAAATATGATTCTATCTTGTGTTTAGCCGTGCTTAATTACGAGGAAGACATAGGGAGGTACACGATCAAGGTGGCAAATGATCCGAGAGCGTGCAACCGGGTCGTCACTTATCGCCCCGAACTGAACATAATTTCTCAGCACGAGCTGATTTCGCTGTGGGAGAAGAAAACGGGTCATAGCTTCAAGAAAGTCTATGTGCCCGAGGAAGATCTGGTGAAGCTCTCTCAAAGTAAGTTCAAATCACCAATGTCACTGTCCTATTTCGCATTGATTTTGATAATATCATCGGCGTTTATCCTAAATTAATCGTGGTACCGCCCCCACAAATTTCTTCCAAACACTCATCACGACCCTGACATCGGTCGAGACATGATTTTCTCTGCATTTTGCCTCCTTCCATGAATGGGTTCAAGAAAAGTTTGCTGACACTTGATGGTTTTCATGTCTTTTGTTAAGCTCTGCCACCTCCAGAAAACATACCCGTCTCCATACTTCACTCGATATTCGTCAAGGGAGATCTGGTGAGCTACGAGATAAGCGAAGATGACCTTGAGGCTTCAAGATTATACCCGGAAATGCAGTACACCACCATTGATCAGCTCCTCGACATCTTCCTCACAGATCCTCCAGAGCCAGCTAGGGCTGCTTTTGAATGAGATGATTCCATTAAGGTTGAACTTTAGCAGTTCAGCAGTAGTATAATGTGCCGAATTACAACCAAACATTACATCGCTTTGGTGAGTTTGAATGACTGAGTTGAAATCCTATAAACTGTTTCTTCTCTTTCCTATGTTTTGTCAATTGAGACTCGGTTCCCATCGTGCCAAGCCCTGCTATTTCTGTCCATCGTCTGTCGAAACGACAGTTTTCGTGTGCAGCACGAGGATATCGGTACAGCAGATTAGAGGCTGTGAGTTTGTAACAAGCCGCTAAAACAACCTAAAAGAATCACTGCTCACTTAATTTGTTGAAATATCTCCTCCGAGAGACAGACATCCTAAGCCGTTTGCGGAACATCGAATCGTCTTGTTGTATAGGAACAGGAGCAAGACTTGGCGTGGAGTTTGTTACTACAGTGAACAGATTGTATATGGTAAGAGTACAGATTCCGACCAATTTTCAGGATGTGAGAAGCAAAGGCTATCCCTGTTGACCAAAGTTTAAGAAGTGTGTTACTCGTTCGACATGTGAAAAGACATTGAAAAACAGGAAGATATGAGAAAGCAGGCGTTCGAAGGTTGATACACTCGGAGAAAAGGCAGGTATGAAGCCATTTAATCTCCCACAAAGAAATCAATTTCATCGAACGAAGCGGATATATTTGTCGGAATCGACACGAGTATGATGCGGAATGCTCGATTCACAGTGTTTATGTCGAGAAATCTTATCATTCAAAGTCTAGCCATAGTTTTCATGTCTGGCGTCAACTGATAGTCTCACGCCTGCGATGACAGAAAGTTTTTCTCACTCGGGCTCGTGATGGCTCCGACCGGACACGAAACTCCGATTAATTAGATTTGGAGTGGGAGGGACTTGATTCAAAACATGCACAGGTTTAGAAACTAAAAGTGGACTTTTGCCTTTTGGAGCGAGTTTGAATAATGTGTATATTTGTCATCGTACGTACGTAAAAGAGCTAATCTATCTTCATAATGTAACATGATAGAGACTTAGACCGCAAATATTGCACAAGGTTAACATGCACGGTCGAACGGGAGTTATGGTATTTGACCCAAAAAAAAAACAGTGAGTTATGGTAAAAAATCGTAAAAGAAAATTAAATAAGATGGAAATAGAGTGGAGTAAGGAATGAAATGAAGATAATAATTAAATGGATTGAGTATTTTCATTTCTATTTATTTTCTTGTAATAGAGAAATAGTATGGAAATCCTAGATGTATTAGAGTAAGCATGATACAAAACCCTGAAAAGAGTAGGTGAAATTGAAGAACATAATTTGTTGTTTTTGAGAGTGGAATTGGCTTTATCTTCCATAGAAGAAAAAATTGTAAATATCACCATGAGTTTTTACCAAACACAAAAAAATAAAATAATAAATGAATGGATGATGGAATGGCATTATTCTCAAAGTATTCAGTCATATGATTACAACTATTCAATGTTAATAGTGAGAGCTAAATCAATTAATGGCATCTTATATTCTCCAATTTTTTTTTTAATAATTCGAGGATACGAGCACAGAGGCCCGGCTATTCAGAGGCTCACGGTACACTATGTGAAATGCCCTTTTCGAGTCTTTTACCTCAGCCCCTCTTTGCATCATTCATTCTCACACTTTGCAACCTCACTTTTATTAATTTGGCCCTAGACTGCATCTCACAGCAAGACAATAATGTGATTTTGCTTTGAAATTTCCTTTTCCGAAACATCCTTGCTTACTTTTCTATGGTCGACCACCGCCGGCGGCAAACTAGCCGGGCTGGCGCGTTAGCCTTAGCAGGCCAGCACGACACGCGACCCATGCACATGACAGGTCGGCCCATGACCCGGTATGGTTTGGCCCTATTTTTCTAAATTTGTTCGGCCTAACCACTTGCAGCATTTGATTTTGGGGCCCCGGTCCCCCTCCTGCAAGAACCCCGAGTTGTTGTCCCACTACGATGTGTTAACCATAGTGGCCTCAATCCCGACTCTCCAGTCCACATCTCTCTTTATATAAGAAACGACTTCATATGTGGGTTTTGTGTGTTTTCTCTTCACGGTACTTCCGTTTCACTCTTTTTAAAGCATATGCATCACGGACCTTTTAAGGTCCATTTCAGTGAAAAGGAGCACTCTCCACAACGAAGGGTCGCACATGGCAGATGGTTGTAAGTCATTTTCCATGAACATGGTGGACATGCACATTTACATGTTCTCGAGTGGATTGTCCACTAGCGGTAGTCAATTTCACGCTCCCTCGCGTACCTTTGTGCAGGGTTAATCCATGGAGAGCATTGTGCATCTCACATGACTATTTATTTGCTGTGATTTCTCCGTGTTATTTGATAACCAACAGTCCCTTTGTTTTTCTCATGCATAGAAGTATTCTTATGTGTCATTTGATTCCGAACGAGCGACGATTGATTTCCATCATTCAATGCCCCGTACCCTATTTCTTTTGGCAATCGTTCGGTGTACCGAAACTATGATCATACGTAGCTAACTTGTGGGGGAACTCATCTTAGGTAGGTAATTGTTCGGCCCATAAAATGCTCGGCCAGCATGCCGTAGTAAGTAAGCCGCGAGCCAAAATTCTGATGATTAAATATGGCTCAAAACATTGATTTGTTTCGACTTCGAGGTAAATGTACATTTGTGGTACATATTGGTTTTAATGCTGTCAACGCGTCCCCGGCATATAAATAGAGTACCCAAGGCACTCAAACCGGCGAACCAAAAAGAGAGGAGAAGACAGAGTAGAGTAGGGCAATGGAAAGAGAGGCAGAAACAGGCAGGATCCTCATCTTTGGCGGCACCGGATACATTGGCAAACACATGGTGAGAACGAGTGTCTCTTTGGGCCACCCAACTTACATTTACGTCCGCCCTGCCACGCCCCAAACCTGACCTTCGAACCTCAACGTCCGTCGCGAGTTCCGTTCCGTCGGCGTCCGCATCATCGAAGTACGCATATATCTCTTTCTCTCTTATGCGATAGGAGCACAACCGGATGCATTCATGCGTGTGCTTGCACCCTTTTTTTTTGGCTTTTTTTAATCAAGAGGTACGAGCGTGTAGATTCGACGAGCACCCGATGATTAACAAAGGCTATATTTTCCTCCAATTATATCTCCGACCATTGCTCTATATGTTAAGGATATCATCACCTGCAAAAACATTGAAGTTGTTGTGGAAATGAAATAGGGAGAGCTAGAGGAGCATGAGAAGCTTGTGGCAGCACTGAAGCAGGTGGACATAGTCATCTCCGCTCTTGCGTACCCTCAGGTACCCGATCGACCAGCTGAAGATCATCGACGCCATTCTTGCCGCCGGCAACATCAAGGTAAGTTATCACTCGCCGATCTAGGAAATCGGCCATTCAATCTCTTTTTTCCTCTTTGATAGAGAGGTTCTTTTCTCTCTTCTTTCTGAGAGTCGAATCCGCCCTGTTCAAGCATACGATAAATCACTTCTCCTAAAGAGTTTGGGTGCTAAAAGTACGAAAAAAAATCTTTCTTCAATTCTCGCTTCTTAACCTGAAAAATCTCGGTCTCGACTATCTAAGCCACCTTCTCTTACTCTAAGAAGATGTAAGAAAAAGATCGTCCTCTTCATTTTTCTTGTTCTTACTAAAAAGAAAAGAGTAAATCTATCAGCCTGAATGGTCGGGGCAGAGCTAGTAGAGACTCAATTTCTGAACACTAAAGAGAAAATTCGGCGCATTAAAAATCGCTCCTTCAATGTTGCACGTAAAGGTAGATCCGTCAAACTGAATGGTCAAGGCAAAGCTAGTAGAGACTCAATTTTTCTGAATCAACAAGAAAATTTGGTGCATTGAAAATCTCTCCTTCAGTGGCGCACGTGATACATCCTTGGCAATCCGATTATGCCCTCGACGATCGATCCTAGTTCAAATCCTTATCGTAACTCATTAGAGTCTTGAAATTAAAGTGTAAATAATTTTACTAGAGAGCTCTACATTTCTTATTTATATACTTAGTACTATATTGGGCTGATCCAGCTCGTTATTTTTCTTGCATTCAAAACCATGGTCTAAAATTAGTTGTGAAAGTAGTGAGGGCTCGGAACGACAATGCGTCAGCTTTGGCTTTGCTGCCTTTAGTATCTACTTTTTCCCATCTTATCAACCGAAAGCAAAATCATACTTCCCATCTCATCTTGATATGTACTTTTTCTTATGTTGAAATAGGTCCAAGCATAAATTTTAGTTTAAGATCCGTTTATTTCGCGAAAAATAATTGATTAGAAAAATATTTTTCCTAAAAGCAATCGCTTGTATAACTTACAAAATTGAATAAACGAAAAATATTATCATTGTTCACGAAAATATTTAGACATGAATTATTACCGATAATGACAATATTTTTCATCGACAAATTACTTTAAGCCATACAAGCAATTATTTTTAGCAAAATATTTTTCAAATTATTCATTTTCCGTGAAACGAAGGCGTTTTTAGAAATTGTAAAAGGACCAATAGTCAAAATTTCTAGAAAATCCCCAAAGAAGCAACATAACCTTTTTTTACTGTTCAAATCCCCCTGATCTAAAAAGTATAGATTTTTTGTTTTCAATAAACATCCAAATATTGGCAATAGGTTAGGTAAAAATCGAGAAAAAGGATAGAGATAGAATAACAGGATCAAACGCTCGAAGTTTAGAAATTAACGTCGCCAAAAAGTCTATGGAAATCGACTCTCACTTTGTACCACACCTTCGTTTGATCATCCACGGATATGGCACGAATCGGATGGTCGAAATCTGGCTAATGATATTTAGAAATTAACGCCAAAAGTCTATGGAAATCGACTCTCACTTTGTACCACACCTTTCGATTTGATCGATCCCCACGGATATGGCATGCGAACCGTCGTGCGTTGGAATCGGTCGGATGGTACCGACGAAATCCTAGGGCTAATTGCATAACATTCCTTGTTTGGTTGCTGCTTACGACGACAGAAAACACGAATTAATATTTCACTCTCATTCTCAAATCAGATTATTATTACTAATAACAAATGTTCCTTCTTATTATCATTATTTTTTTTTAATTTTTTGAGCAGCGGTTTGTGCCGTCTGATTACGGGTGTGATGAGGACAAAATAACGCCACTCCCTCCGTTCCAAGTGTTCTTGGAGAAGAAGAGGAAGATCAGGAGGGCCACCGAGGCTGCAGGCATTCCCTTTCACCTTCGTCACGGCAAACTGCCTCGCTGCATACTTCGTCAATATCCTCCTTCATCCCCACGACCCCCAAGGATGAAATTGTCGTCTACGGCAATGGCGAAGCCAACGGTACTTACTCCCTCCCTCCCTCTCTCTCTCTCTCTCTCTCTCTCTAGGCTCGAAACTTGTTTGGACCCGGATCCGCAGCTGGATCCGCAACTGGATCGGTAATGTCGTCCCTGAACGTTGTTTTCCGCAACTGGATCGGTGGACCATATTCTGTTCATGTTAGTTTCTCCGATAAAAATCCGACGAGAAAATTTAGAGACTTTCCCTGTCCATTATCCTATTTATTTACCTTCTTTAAACATGATTCTATCTTGTGTTAGCCGTGCTTAATTACGAGGAAGACGTAGGGAGGTACACGATCGAGGTGGCAAATGATCCGAGGGCGCGCAACCGGGTCGTCACTTATCGCCCCGAACCGAACATAATTTCTCAGCATGAGCTGATTTCGCCGTGGGAGAAGAAAACGGGTCGGAGCTTCAAGAAAGTCTATGTGCTTGAGGAAGATTTGGTTAAGCTCTCTCAAAGTAAGTTCAAATCACCAATGTCACTATCGTATTCTCTCGACGCCCCCCTTTATTTTGCATCGATTATGATGGGAAAAATGACACTAATGATCTTCAATCTTTGATCCAATATGCAATGTGGTCTTTGAACTTTAGCTCATTGTGTAATGTGATTCATGAACTTTTAATTTGTTCAATGTGATCTCTAAACTTTTGATACATATTCAATTTCATTGTTGAACTATATGAAAATGTACAATATTGTCCCTGATTTTTTATTTTATGAAAGGACAACATTGAATATTTTCATATAGACCAAGGACTAAATTGAACATGTACAAAAAGTCTATGGATCATATTGGACAAATTAAAAGTTTACGGATTACATTACACATTATGTTAAAATTCAAGGATCACATAAATAAATTATAAGATCATGGACCATTTGTGTCATTTTCCCATTATGATAACATCCTCCCGTCTATTGAAATTAATTGTGATACTGCCCCGCAAATTTCTTTAAAACAAAGTCGCGACCCAGACATCGGTCAAGACATGATTTTCTCTGCTTTTTCCTCATTCCATGAATACGAAAGTTTGCTGACACTAAATGGTTTTTATGTCCTTTGTTAAGCTCTGCCACCTCCAGAAAACATACCCGTCTCCATACTTCACTCGATATTCGTCAAGGGAGATATGATGAGCTACGAGATAAGGGAAGATGACCTTGAGGCTTCAAGATTATACCCAGAAATGCAGTGCACCACCTTTGATCAGCTCCTTGACATCTTCCTCACGAATCCTCCAGAGCCAGCTAAGTCTGCTCTTGAATGAGATGATTCCGTAAGGTTGAACTCTAGCAGTTTAGCAGTAGCACAATGTGCTGAATTACAACCGAAGCATCGCTTGGCTTTGGTGAGTTTGAATGACTGAGTTGAAATCCTATAAACTGTTTCTTCTCTTTCCTATGTTTCGTCAATTGAGACTCGGTTCATATCGTTCCAAGCCCTGCTATTTCTGTCCATTGTTTGTAGAAACAACAGTTTTCGGGTGCAGCGCGAGGATATCGATATGGCAGATTAGAGGTTGTGAGTTTGTAACGAGCCACTACACAACCTAAGAGAATCACTGCTCACTTTTGTCGAAATATCTCCTCCGAGAGACATCCTAAGCCGTTTGCGGAACATCGAACCGCATACGTTCGAAAGAAGTCGTGTTTTATAGGAACAGGAACAAGACTTGGTGTGGAGTTTGCTACTACAGTGAGCTGATTGTATATGGTAAGAGTACAGATACCCGAGCAATTTTCAGTATGTAAGAAGCAAAAGCTTTCCATGTTGATGAAAGCTTACGAAGCGTGTTATTCCTTCAACATGCGAAAAGGCATTGAAAAACAGGAAGATATAAGAAAGGAGACGTTTGCAGGTTGATATAGTCGGAAAAAAAAAAAGGCAGATATGAAGCCACTTAAAGTTTCACGCATTTGGTTTGATCAGTCAACAGAAAATCATTTAGGGTCAAAGAAAATATGTATGCAAAAGTTAGGAAAATGAATTCTCTAGCCTAAAAAGGGAAAAACATTTTCTTGAAAAATGAATTCCTGGAAAATCTTTTCCTTTGTCATGTAATTTTCCTCGAAATAAACACACCCTCTTTTACAAAGCTGCAACATATCCAAGGCCAGGTCTCGTTATGCTCTAAATATTGGAGTGAAGAATGCGTTGGAGTTGAAGTGAAGTGAAGCATCTGACAAGAAGAAAGATGAAAAACCGAGAGTAACTAAATGAAGGACATGGGGAAGATTAATAATGAAACTGCTAGTGGGCATTGATCTGTAAGAAGCTGCAAATGGGATCGCAACTAGGAATGAAGTGTCCTATCCCAAAGTCTTGCTTAGTAGAGGAAGGATGGGCACTAAGCTAACATAGGATGGTGTGAAATATGACAATTTTGAAGTTGAGGAAGCATCGGCAAAAGCCCACCAGAGAAAGTCCCCAGCAAGCTAAGTAGTGAAGGAACTTACGGTCGAGATTGATATGGAAGCGATTACCAGAGAGTGAATACGGAAAAATGTTCATGGCCGTTGGAAAACAGAGCCTCAGAGGATAGACATGAGTAAATAAGCAAGAAGGCTCAAAGACCCGGACTGGAACTTGACAAGAAGGATGAAGATGTATAGATTGGCTAGTCATTGCAGTTTAAAAGAAGAGCCTTGGACAATGGGCAACACAACCCCCACTTTCTTTGCTAGATCACCCTGTGAGTTCTGTAAAGTCCCCCCCCCCCCCCCAGTGGATACCAAAAACCACTTCAATTTGCATAATATACAGGGCAGTTTCTGCACACACTAGTCATTCGTGCATCCGAGCAAGCAACACCGACAAAAGTCCCCAAACAGAAGCCTACATACCTCTAGGGAGTGCAAACAAACTCGGCTTGGTCAAGAGTAAGAATCCTAGAGTGTTCTGAAGATAGAGTAAAGGATCGAGTTGTTAACCAAACCTTCAATCTCATAATCCTGCCGCTAATGCTGGCAAGCGTCTGTTCAGCCAACATGGGGATTTTATTAGCCAGAACAATAGAGTGTGCTATAATTGCGACTGGAGTGATGCTAGGTATATTAAGATTAGTCTGTAAGACTGATATACAAGTAATGTTGCAGACTGCAAGCAGGCAGTTTAACAAGTGAACCAATTCAACACTTAGGCGATGGTTTGCCACATCACAGTATATCCATCTTATAAGCCAATCTTCATGTACCTAGCATCGTTCTTGCTACTAAATAAAGGAAACGAGCTGCTTCTGTAATCGAGACCTACTGCTCGTAAAAAGGTTTAAAGGGCAGTTGACCATATCTTGCACATGCTCTATAACTCACTAAATCCATTTAGCAGTTGGCCTTCAAACTGCTACCTAAATTCTCTTACAAACTACCATCGCAAAATTCATGGAGGCATTAGAGAGAGTAGAGAGGATAATTGCACTGCTCTGTCGATGCAATGACAGTGATGAAGACTAAAATGAAAACAGACTATGTTACAAATATGAATTGGCTTGCTCATCAAATTACCGAACATCAATGCAATGAAAGAACTGACCCGTGTGACTAGGCAACAAATATCCTAAAGAATTCCGTCCCAGATACCAAAGACGTACCAAAGCCGCGGATCAACCGGCCGAAGTAATGATATTAAGACATCGAACTATGCTCAGCTTCAGCATGTATTGATTCCATTCTTGCAATCTTTGGTTAAATTGTAGAAAGTTTCGACTCGTGTCTTTGCCCGGTATAGTACCTCAGTGTCCACTGCCACCCTCATATAACCATCGAATTCGACCGGATTCCCATTGTTGAGAAGTCTGGTCTCATTGTACCACTCGCTCTTATTTCCCCACAGCTCCCTATAATCATCCAGCAGATGCACCTTGTATTGAGACCTCAATTTGTCGAAGTAGCTGTAAAAGGGCTCGTTCGTCGCCACGTACAGATTTCGCCACGGCTTAATCACCTCCCGAAGCTTAGCAAGAATAGCATCAGGGGATGTGTCGGAATCCAAGTGAGGCCAGAGCGCCTTATTCTGCGCCTTCTCTCCGCGAACCACATGGACCACATCGAAATCCCAGTCCATCCTCCCACTGATCTCCGTGACGATGTTCATCAGCCTCTTCGACTTCCAGATTGCCTGCCACGGCCTGTGGACGTAATTCGCAGCCTGCCCTTCGCAGACCCTGTACCAGTAATTATCCTTCTCCTCCGGAGCATTGAACTGCCTCCATATGATCGTGCTCTTATCTTTCTTGAGCTGCATCGGCGTGACTTTATAAGTCCCGACCTTCTTAACCGGCACCTTCTTCTTGTGAGTCTCATCCCATTTCTTCCAATCGCTCCAGAACTCGCCCTCCTCCACGATCGAAGCCGTCTCCTTGAGATGCTCGAAGTCGAAATAGAACCGGAAATCCTTCCCTTCCTCATCTTTCTTACTCGGGTTGTACGTCGCCGCCAGGCAAAGCTTCAGATCCATCACGAAGGTGCGATTGAGGTACATCGCCTCGCCCAGCCCGCAGAGGAAGCTCCACATGTAATGATTCATCCCTTTACAGTAATCCGCCCCGCGCGAGTAGTACAAGTATCTCCCCTTCCTGAAACTCGTATCGGACCCCAGTGTCGGTATAGTGTCGTTGATCTCGTCGTCCCTAGCCGGAGCTGGAACTTTCGGTTTCTTGCCGCCCCTGGTGGCGTTGAATCTGCCGCCTTTCGGCGGCCGCGCATTGACGCCCGAATGCCAAGCGCCCGGGTGCACCACCCTGTAAGTGCAGCTCTCTCCAATGCCAATCTTAAACCTCCTGAAATCCCTGTACTTCCTCCAAGATTTCTCCCTCCTGTTCCTGAACCTCCACGCCACGTCGCACTCGTCGGTTTTCGAACCGTTAACCGGAGCCTGATACCCGAGGAACACGATAGACCTGAAGGCTCTCGCATTGAACCTCTTGACGGCGGCCAGAACGCGGGGATCCGAACAATTGACGGGCAGCAGGGCCGCCTCATCGCACGAGGGCTCGGCCCTGGTGGTCGAATTCGCGATCACCTCCTCGGCCCCCTCAACCGCCGGCGACGGCGGCGGCGGAGCGGGAGCGGGGGAGGCGGCGGGGGAGAGGAGGGGAAGGTCCTCGCCGGTCTTGAGGACGGAGTCGTCGTTCTTGAAGGTGGCATTCTGGGTCTGCGTGAACAGCCTGGTGAGGGCGGGGGCGGACTGGAGCCACGGATCCGGGGGCTGGTAGGTGATGGCGACGACGGTGACGATCAGGACGGAGAAGACGAAGACGGAGAAGCAGACATTGCTGATGAGCTTGATGAGGTTCTGGGCGATGGGCTCGGCTCCTGGATCTGAATCTTTCATTGGGGGCGGCCGCGGGGGGTGGTGACTGGTGGGTTGCTTTCTTGCCACCGAGTCCCGGAAGCGCACAGACGAAATGGGTGTCGAAAAGCGAAGAGATTTGAGGTGGGTTTCTCGCTTACAGTCGAGCTCTGAGCTGCGGGAATGGAGATGGAAGGGGACTGGTCAGGGGCGGAGGAGGAAGAAGGTTTCTGCAAATCTTGCGGACTTCAGCTCGGTGAGCTTCCTTGTGTCGGTGTCGGTGATAGAGGTTGGGATGTCAAAAGATTTTCTTTTCCTCTTTTTTTTTTTTGAGTTTTTGCGATTTGTTTTGTTGAAGTGTAATGCCGTATCTAAATTTTTTAATTTGTTCAATTTAATTTTTATATTTTAGTTTAATATTTAATATGATCCCTAAATTTTTTATTTATTCATTGTCATTTCTCAATTTTTATTGTATGTTCAATAATATATGAAAATGTTCAATATAGTTATTCCATTAATTCAAGTCCATGGACTATAGTGAGCATTTTCATGTAATTTAAGGATTATATTGAATATGTACTAAAAATTCAGGAATTATATTAAATAAATTAAAAATTTATAAATTATATTAAATATTAAGTTAAAATTATATGTATCAAATTAAAATTCTAGTATCAAATTATATGTGGAGCCAAAATTTAGAGGTAGCCTGGATCATTATCCCATTTGTTTATGTCGTGGTATTTCTCTTCTGGCCTGTCTCTCTGTCGCTGTCACTTGTCGTTGAGCTCGCTTGCTACGGACGTTTTGCTCGCGCACATGGGACAGGTTTTGTTTTCGAAATAAGGACAGATCATCATAATATGGTATTATTATATGCTGTCATGATTGATGTCCATACTTATCGTTCGAAAAACTACTCTCTCTCCAACCAGGAATGGATGGATATGTAACCCTCCTTGAAGAAGCAGGAGGGGGGGGTGTCGAGGGCTCTGTACGCAGGCAATTTCATGGGCAATTTCATGCATAACCACTTCGTTCCCCTCTAATTTAACTGGAGAATTTACAGCACGGTCCTAAAACTCGTGGATTTCGTGTACTTCAGATCCCGAAAACTTTCGATTTGTACAATTAAATCATCAAACTTATTAATTTCGTGCACTTTTGGCCATTTCGTGGGGTCGGTCAATTTCAAGTGGACGAAAATGCGCACGCCTGCTTGTGGTGAGCGCGCCATGGCCCTTGTCGGTGGTCGATCGAGGGCCCTCTGTGATTTCGGTGAGGTGTGCCGGTCGGCCCCCCATTGTGCCAAACCCCTGAAGGCCATTGGCAAAAAGGAAAGGTATCCTGTAAACCAAAAATGAAAGCTCATTTGGCAAATGCAATGCATCTCCGATGGCTTTTTTCTCAAGGCAAGGGGGTGGCTTTGGCTGTCTAGTATTTTCAGAATGCTAAGCCCAGGCTTCATTATTTTTTTTATTCCAATTTTACCCTCACCGATGGTTTCGTATTCCTTTTGTACCCCTGAACGAAATCACTGTTCATCGTCTTTGCAAAGCCAAGGGTCACCGATGCTTATCATTGTGTGAGGATAGCCAACGGCTTGCCAAGGTTACGCGAGGGTCGCGGAGGTCAAGGCTTGCTTGTTGAGGCTGCTTGAGGCCGCCGCTAGTCGCAACGAGGGTCGCGCGTCTATTTAAGATTTATTTGGTCTCGGCAGTCTACCGCTTGAACTTGCCTCTGTTTAAATGTGCCTTGCAGCTGTTCTCAAAAGTGACTTGCCTGAGGTTGTGCGACCTTGGTGTCGTCTTGCTTGGGGTCATGTGACCTCGGCAGCTTGGGGTCGTGCCACTCTAGGGATACCTAGCCTAGGGTTGCGCAACCTCCACAACGACTGTGGCCAGAGTTTCCAGTTTTGCCTGAGTTGGGTCACTATTGTAATTTTTGTTTTTTCTTGTTTTTTAAACCAAAGGCGTTTATGCAAATAGCATTTACCAAATATTATTTACATTTTGTAAAAACCCTTTAGCCTAGAAGCAAATAGTATTGACATATAACCCTTTAAATGCAAAGGCATTTCCCAAAAGTTCTCTCGAACGCACCCTTAAACCGTCATTCCCGAACCTGTTGTCCTTTTGTCTTTCCTTTTTATTCTTGGTTTTTTTTTTCCAATTTTTCGGATTTCATGTATTATTTTCAAAATTTTATTTTAATTTTCTAACGTGGCATCACCCAACTATACCCTTTTATATTCACCTATTGAAAAATATTTAAAAACCACGCAGCATTAAAAAAAATTGATAAAGAATCATGTGTACGTTTCCGTCCATTTGAAATTAATGGACTTGACAGAAGAGCATAAGCTCGCGAAATTAATGGACTTGACAGAAGAGCAGAAGCTCGCGAACTTAACAAGATTTAGGACTTACATGCACGAATCGAAAGTTTTAGAAATGAATTAGAAACGAAGTGCACGAAATTTACGACTTTCAGGACTTTGCTACGTAACTTTCCCAACTTAAATCTGACAATCTTAGCTAACATGACCTTCCAACTCAAGGATCTTGTGGTGTTGTGTGCGACTTTGGAGTTGCATATAAAAAAGCCCATAACGGTGGGTTAATCAGATTGTGGCTGGGGAGGTGGTTGGGATGACAATGACTGCATATCCGACGATGAATCACATTTCTTTTCCACTTTTGATGTGAGCACGACACCAGCAAGCAGCAAGAAGCACCAGCTCATTTCAAACACATATTCCTTGTACCTGCGGCTCTGCTCGTTTGTCGTTGGAACAGATCGTGGAGATGACTCGAAATCATTCCCGAGTCGGCAAGCAAATAGTAGTAATGTCTATATAAGAAGCAAACGATCCGACTTCGTACCAAACATGCGCAGGACGATTCAAGTTCTGATCAAATTTTCGCAAACATTTTGCTGCAAAGTGTTCTGTCCAGCATCTAATGACTACATGGTTGCAGATTTTTATTGTGACGAGGACTATAAAGTAAGAGAAATCCCATCATAATCACCACAGATTGCGCCATAAGAACACTAACCACCCACTAGTTTCGTAATCACTTGCTTCGCAAATATGGTATCCGAATTCCATCTCTTTAGGTCTTTAATCTTTAAATATAGGAGGCTACGTTAAGTTATGTACAAAAGGAATCTCCACGGAGATCAGGGAGAGAAAAAGGAGATATTGAAACTCAGAACTTAGCGGAAGGCGTGGTCATAGTCATGGTACCGGAAATTCTTGTGGACAAAATGAGCCAACCATCTGGATGCCCCGAAGAACAATACCGCCATCACAACGAGTGTAGTTCTTGCTATGGCCGACAACGCGTTTTGTTTCGCCGCGGCGACGATTCCCAGAGAAGCTACAGACAACACCTGTAAGGTGACCTCGAGTGCATTCAGACCTTTGTATGCATTGTTGCAGCTGCGGCAGTTCACCACGTGAGACCAGTACCTGCGAAAATTGCAACCAACTTTCTCTATCAAATATGCTCAATGGGAAAAAAATTGCATTGGAAGTCACTGCGAACTTGATGATTTTCTCTACCACCCTAAATAAGAACCCTAAGGAAGCTAACGAGAACAACTCGAGAGAAACGGAATGGACTGACTTTTCTTTCCGGTTGACATGGACGGTAATTTTTCTTATGATGGCTTCAGACATCTTTTCGCTTTATTATCAGAGCAGAGACTTCAAAAGCTCGAGACAACTAATTAACTCTCAAATGGATCACCTGTCCATCAGCTGTTCTCTGGGAGGAGTAGCAGGGAGAGCACCACTGAACTTGCCCTTCCAATCAACTTGACCGCCTGCATACTTGTTTAACCACTTCCTGAAACCGACAACAAGCGCATCGGACTTTGTTGGCACGAAACAGGCCTTTTGCCAATTGGAAGAGCCCACCTCCATTATCTTTCGCTCCTGAAAGGCACAAGGAAGTTAATAACCACTAGACTCAGGTGAGTGTCTAAGCAAATACTGGGGCTTGGCATGCATTAGGGATTAATTGAAAGCCAGGCATCTACTACAGCAGCATTCTTACGTTTCTATCAGGAAGATGCTACACACTCAGATCCTCAATGAGAAGAGACACAAAAGAATAAGCAACTTAGGAGAAGGTGTAAAAATCTTCAAGAAAAAACTTAAGACAACTTAATGATAGTTACGTCACTCTGTGCTAGGCTTGAAATGACAACAAGCACTCGTAGTAATCCACTGAACGTTTTTGTACCCTTTCTACAGCCAACCACTAGTCAACAGTTTACAACTTTCTTTCCGTTGAGATTTTTTGTCCCTAGTGACCACTATCTGCATTTAGTGTTCCATGCTAGCATTTGAACATCCTGCGCATAATCAGCATCTAACAACAATAGCTGAGGGATGAAGGTCTTAACAAAAAGACTACCTCAACATGAAGAAGATATAAATCTGAATCCAGAATCAGGTTCTGTCCCACATGAAATATCCATCGTGGAACCACTTGGTCGATCCATACTCCAAAATTTCTTGGGAAGGTCCATATCAATCTGCTGTTACCAGGACTCACTGGAATGCAAATGAAAATCAAAGCCATTCTCCGTTTCGCAGCGGATGCTGAAGACTCCTGTGTCTGATGATATATAGTTGGAAACTATTATTCAGAGCAAACAAATGGATCAATTGCTAATAAATTCACCTAATTTATGTATCATCCATACCATTTTGCTTCCATCTGACATAGCAGTCACATTTCCCGGATCCGATGGACGTTCAGAATAAGCATAAAATATGCATGGTGACATGAATTGGCTACTTCCCCACTCCTGCTTTGCTAAGAAACCATCAATATCGAGTTTCTTTATACTCATCTCAACTGGCCTTCCCCCTTCTCTATCAGCTTTCACAGTGAAAAGAACATACGAGGTGTTGGATAAGCTTTCAAAGAAAGTCGAAACGTAATTAGTGGAGATACCATGGAAAGAAAGTTCTTATCTGTTTTTTGGCCGTTGAGTTCGCATTATACCATAGTGGGCATATGGGACGTGAGCAGGATCCATAAGATTTTCAATCAGCACCTC